CACATAATATTTAGAAGATGTCATAAGTCTTAGTTCTAGTGTCTCCAGCAATTTGTTCAGTTCTATAGTTTCCCTATTGCTTATATTTTTATTTATATTTATCCAAAACTGAGAAAGACAGACAGACAGACAGACAGACACTCAGATTCCCTGCCACTGTTATATTACTATTTATGTCTTCTTGTGTTCATTTTTACTTTATGAAAATTTTTCCTTTGGGTCATTTCAGCAAATCATGGTTTCCCTGTTTATCCCCTTTTGTTGTAAATATTTGTTTTTGTTTTGTTGGATAATATGATTGCAACTTTCCCTATTTTAGATCTGTTTAATGCAAAGTAATTTCTTCCAGTTCCTCATTCTTACTCTATTTATAGCTTTCTTTTTTTAAATGTATGTCCTGTAAGCAACAGCTTGTAGGGGTTTTTTTTCCTTATCCAATCTGTCACTCATTTTCATTTTACTGGATTGTTTAAACCATTCACATTTAAAATTAATAGTGAGCTCTATATTTTCTCCTGTTTGTCTCTGATCTTTCTCCTCTCTTCCTCTGTAAAGCCAGTACTATGAGTCTTAAGTTATTTTGGATTAAACTACTTTAAGGCAACCCTATTCCTATTGGTTCTCTTCTCACCTTCAAATCACTTCTTTGTTACCCTCCTCTCTAGTTCTGAAATTTTGCTTAATTATATCTATTTATTAATTCTTCTTCCTTTTTTAATTCCCATCCCCCTTCTCTCCTTCCCTTCAACCTGTTTTACTCATTCTTTTTTTTTTTTAATTTTATTTTCTGCACCTTTATGCACCTCATTCACTTTATTAATTCTCTCTATTTGGGGCTTTTTTCTTTGATTCCTGGTAATTATGTTTGTTTAGTGCTTCTTTAGTTTCTGTGTTTCTAATGGAATTAAAACTTCTAAGGTAGATATTTTGGGTGCCTTATTGTAAATAGTTTCTATATTATAGCTTTCTAAATCTTGCCCCCAGCTAATTTTATTCTGTTCTGCCTCATTCTTAGAAATACCAATTCCTGCAGGTTATGAAGAGTATAACGCCCCACTGTTAGGGATTTTCCTACGTCCCTGACTGGGTAGTTTATTATCAACCTTTACCTTCCCCATGCTAATTTTTTCCTCCATTTTCCTTGAAATTTCCTCCCTAGGTCCATGCAATGTAATAAAATCACCAACAGTGCTAAATGGGCCAACTACAAACCTCAAATGGGCCCTCACTGCTGCAAGGCAATCCTTTCACTGATTGATTCACTATATCACTTACCACAATGACTGTTCCAAACCCCTTCATCTTTCCTCAAATTTCCCACAACTCCCCCTCTTACAATCTCTCGGCTGAGAACCTTGCCTCATATTTCACTGAAAAAAAACTGAGGCCATTCAGAGCACTCGCTCTTCTCCCCTGCTTCTCACCTCCATGTGCTTTCTACCAGTATCTCCTTCCTCATTTCTGTCTCCTCACTCTCTTCCCCTCCATATCCAATTTCTTGCCAAGGCCTGTCCATCTTACTTTTCTAACACCTCCAGCATCTACCCTCATCTATCCACACATACACATACACATACACATACACACACACACACACACACACACACACACACCTGTCCACTACAACTCTGGTGCAAGCCCTTATCACCTCACATCTGGACTACTACAATAGTCTCCTGGTCTGCCTGCCTGAAGTCCTTCCCCACTCTAATCAATCCTCTACTCAGCTGTCAAAGTGATCTTCCTAAACCACAATGTCACTCCCCCACTCATTTAATTCTAGTGACCCTTAATCACATCCAGGATCAAATATAAAATCTTGTGTATCTTTCAAAGTCCTTTATAATCTGCCTAACCTCATATACATCTTTTCAGTCTTCCTACACATTATTTTCCCCCTCTTCCCTGACCACATACTCTGTGATCCAGTAAGACTGATGTCCTTAATGTTACTGAAAGAAGATGTTATATCTCCTGACTCTGGGCATTGTCACTGGCTAGCCTCCATGCCTGGAATGCCGTCCTCTCCTGGCTTCCCTGGTTTCCTTCAAATCTCAGCTAAAGTTCCATCTTCTACAGAAAGATCTTCTAGTGCCTTTCTTCTGTTGATTATTACTAATTTATCCTCTCTGTTCCTCAGTTCTTTGACTGAGCTTTATTGTAGTACAGAGCGCTGCTGTGCTACTGTCCCAATCTGAGCAACCACATATATGCCTTTTGGTTTCCAGCCATTAGGAGAGCACTTAGGATGGGATGGGGTTAAATCTTGTTGCAAGCCTCTAAGTCAGCTTGTGCAGCCCAGCTACCTGAGCACTATGAATGGTGGAGAAGAGAGTGAAAAGTGAGCATGTTAAGGGATAGGGATTAGCTTTCTCTGCTGTTAGTTCACTGATTTGCTACCTTATTAGGGTTTTTAATGTCCTAGACTGTGGAAACAACTGAAATTGCTTTACATCTTTGCATATAACTCCTATTCTGGAGAGGTCTGCAAGTTTATGAAGATTGAAGGAAATGTCCAGTTCTCTTAATCTGTTGGTTTATGTGAACCATGATGCTATATGGTTTCAAAATAGGACTGAAAAAATTAAATGTCCATCTACTTTTTGTTGTATGTGCGTTTTTATATATATATTTGTGGAAGTGGTGGCAGAAGTGAAAAGAGCTGTCATGAAATCCAACAATGACAAGGTTCTTCAGCTCCAAAATGGTTGGGAAATGGTATCATAGATAAGAAAAGTGAAACTTGCATTTGAAGGGGGAATAACTGTACTTGAGGATGATAAATCACGATCCCCATCTCCTACCCATTATTTCTCAATATGACATCCTAGCTAGTGGGTGAAGATCAGAAATAAGGAATGTAGCAAAAAAAAAATTTTTTTTTTTAATTTAAAGGCAAGGTGGGATGCAGAATAAGATCATCTTTTCCTGATGTGCTGAAAGCATAGGTTAATATTTTATTACTACCTATATAACAGTCAGAAATGACCATAATTTAGCTTATTTAACACCTAACACCAGTTCCCAAACCATGAAGACATTATGTCAGAAATAGGAAATAGAAGGACTTAGTCACAATGGTTTGGATTTTTCCATTATATTTACCAAGGAAATTTTGAATTAAATGGGTCTTATCTGGTTCCCTATTCCCTTTGCTTCCTGAAGTTCTTAAGTCTTGGAGGTGTCATACAAAATAACCAGCAGAGAGGAGATTTGCACTGAACATATACTTGTCTAGAATACATTAAATCTCACCCTTTTTTAGTTAAAGGGAAAGAGAAAAAAACATCATCATTTTGGGAGAAAGAGACACAAGAATGTTGCTACCACCCATCCTCAGAAACTCTTGGTTACTCAGAGCACAAAGGGCATGTTCACATATATCTATAGCCCTATGCTATTGTTGAAACAGATTTTACTTTGTAAAATCCCAGTTCCCAGTATCAGGAGGCTAAGAACATATGACTTACAATCACTATGTCACACATACATTATAATGCAGGTAATTCTCAATTCACTAACCCACATGCTCCACGTTCTCAATTCCTTTTCAAGCACCAATTTAATGACATAATACAGATTTTGAAACAGAAAAAATTATCCACTGTTGCAAGCAAAAATTAGTATTAAAGACAATCTTTCATAGTAATATAATCAACGCATTGGATCCCTACCTGTTTTAAAACACACACACACACACACACACACAAACACACACACACACCACTGTGATGCCATTTCTTTGGTTCTTAAATGATGTTATCTGCTCACTTACTAAGTCAATTAATTCAATCATCTGGTTACAATGGGATAAATTAGCCAGGTTCATTATGTGAATGCAGAGTTTCACCTACCTATGTGTATATTGCTACTTTAAAAGACCACTCCACTGCTCAGAGAGCTCCTTTAAGATAGAATTTCCTTCTTGTAGAGCCACTCCAGGTAGTGTGAGATAATAGTGCCCCATCCCTAGTGGACACACAATGAATATTAAATTAAGGTGATTCTGGGTTCTCAAAGGCTATTCCAGCAGATTTGCAAATTCTTACAATTTGCAACAAATTGTTAGAACAAAAAAGGTTCAAACAAGCTGGAAATCAGTCTAGACTCAGTGTGCCTGCTTTCTGAGAAGTAGATTTGCTAAAAAAAAAAAAAAACACACAAGAAAGTTGCCCATCAAATTTCATCTCCTGTCTCATTTCTCAGCCATGGCAACACTTGAAATATAAGGTGGTACAACATATGAAATGTAGGGCGGTACAGTCTACATCAGTGGACAGAAATTATTTTCACAACTCTACGAGGTAGACGAAGTATTACTATGCCTATTTTACAGAAGAGGAAATTGAGGCTGAGTGAATAAATGACTCACCCAAGATCATGTAGATCATAAGCAACAGAACCAGAACTCTAAGATAAATGCCCTTTCCCCTTTGTTCCAGCTTCCCCTTATAAATGAGGATGATAAATCATGATTTCCATCTCCTACCAATATTAGCCATTTTTATGCCCAGGCAGGAATTTCTAAGCAGTTAAAAAGATCCTGCACCCACGATAGGGACTCTACCATTAGCCCTTTCTTCCTCCCTCTTCCCTACCTTCAATAACTTCCACATCCAAAGATCTCAAGGATTTGGAAAACTAAAAAGTAGGATCCTCTTCACAAAAAGTTTGGGGCCTCTCCCCTAAGAACTCTAAGTAATTCATGCTACCAATTTCAACCTCCTCAAATGAAAGCCATTCTGAAATAGCAATAGAGACAGATTTTAATTTCATCTCTTGTTCATTCTCTCAAAGAGGCAATAATGTACAATAAAATAGTTCAAAGGACCAAAGGAAAAAGCAAAAACTAAGAGTCACAAACTGAACAAGGAGCCAATGAAACATTGAAGATGGATACATTTCCATTTGACTAATTCTTGATGTCACAATGCTTAAAAGAAGGAGAGGGATAATGCTCATTAAAGCCCTTCAGAGGTTATACCAATGGAAAAACTCACCTTCAGTCTCTTCAGCAACCACTGCATGAGGCCCTGTTGGGCAGCTTCTGTGCACATTTCTGGTCGGAACTCAGCCATATTTTCTACAATGGCTGAAGGAAGAGAAGAAACCAATCATATGCAAAAGTAATTTTGCTTGTACTAGTAAGTACACTAATTCACTGTAATATTCATGTCTTTCTTTCTCCAGTTCCCTACACTCCTCCCTGATAGTCAGATGCTAAGGCATTTTTACCTGATCGATGGTATTCCTAAGGGTTTTTTTTAATTTTTTTAAACAAGCTACATTTGTAGGCAAACGTCACACAACTAGAAGTAATGTAAGTCAAAAGAAATTAAGTATGTAGTACATGGGTGGGGGGGAGGGAAGGACTGTGCTAACAGAACATGGCCTTAGTTCAGAAAATACAAAATGAAGGACAATTGTCCTAAGGCTCTCCTCATTTCCATGTGCCTAATTCAAGATCTTCAGTATAACACCAGGTCATCAAGAACTATGAAGTAGTCAAGAGTAAGAGTCTAAGAGTAGATAATAAAGCCTTTCCCCTACCTGTCTAATTGGTTCCTTTCACATTCCCTCTCTTTGCATCATTAAGAAACATGATAACATTAAAGGAAAATATAATCTTCCTCACTAACAATTTTTGCACAAGGGGAAGGAAAGAATAGTCAGTTGAGGGGAATATCAGGCACACAACTATAAATATTGATAGGTTTGCTATCTCTTAAAGTACCACTTAAAAATTCTTATTTTTAAATATTTATCTGATGGGCATCTGAAAAAGCCATGGAGGCAGTCACCTACTTTTTCTACCATCTTCCTAAATCCTTCATACCTACCTGTCAGAAATTAAACTATGGAAGAGCAAAAAAAGGTAAAAGTAAAGTCTGGGGTTTGGAGGGGGAGGACAGTGGGTTGGGGAGTGGAGGAAGCTCTGAGTTATAAGAGAGAAACAAGGCAGGACAAGAGAAGACTAAGAAAATTCATTCAATCACTAGCTGTTCAACCTTGGCCCAAATTACTTCAGATTATTCCCATATCTCTCATTATGTGAGACTCAGGAGGACTCCAGCCATGGCTTCTCCAGTCAGGGAAGGGGGTATGTCACTCCCAAAAGCACTTCATGCTAGTTTTTCTGTTTTCTTCTCTTTTCTCATCAAACGGAAAAGAAAAATCAATCCATTAAGTCACACTTTCCATGTCTTTAAGGTTTCACCTTTTGTTATGCAAACACTTTGTCCTATTCACTGCTTTCACTATTCCTGTAGAAACTCACTTTATTTCTGATGAATCTGCTTTAGCCAAAATTTTAATATGTCATTTTAGATTAAATTCTCAGGAAAGTAGAGCTAATAAGGAACCAAAAAAGATCATCTAATCCAGTTATCTTATTTTACAGATGAGGAAACTGAGGCCCAAAAAGGGGAAGTGACTTGCCCAAGGTCACACAGTTAACGATTAACAGAACTGGGACTAGAACCCATAGGTGTTGACTATCAACAAACTGCTCTTTACACAATGCCCACCAATTATTACTGCCAGGATCATTTCAGGGTTGCTATCCTGGTAAAATTCTCCAGTGGCGTAGAAAATGGCAAAACCAAAAATTAATTCTGACTAGAAATAACTACAACAAACCCCTGCATTTCCATATTGTAATAATCTCCTTTCACTTACTCTCAAAACTCTGCAACTTCCTTATAATAATCCATACTGACAGATTCTGAAACTATGAAAAAAATCAGTTACAAGCACAGAGAAGGAAAATAAAAACCTAATTTCATCAAAATTTCTGCTTCCTTAGGGTCTCATTCATTTCTCAGGTTCTGGTTACGGATCATCTTTGTTTTTATAAGACAACCAGCAGTGATCAAGAGGAATACTTGAAAACACTGTCTTAAGTAAGCTTTAGTTTCAACATCTTTGCAAGGAGGAAGGATGGGAGAAATTCAAGAAAAATGAGGATATATACTGCAAAGGAATCCCCTTAAATGAACACAAAAGAAAGAGGCAGACAAATTCAAAGCAATATTTCAATTCCAAGTTTGTGCAATAAACTATACATAAAGAAAGAAACACTGAAGCTTTTCTAAATAAAATGCCCTATAAAAGAGCACAACTGCTAAAAAAAGTTTGCCGTTCTAGTGAAGGAGAATCAGAAGGAAAACTAATGTATTAAGGGAATAAAATCACAAAATGAATACTTTCCAAATCCCCAAATGTCACCCAGCAGTCCTTCCATCAAAATTGGAGTTTTCCTGGAGCAGGTCTACTAAAAGGAATCTATGATTTCAGTCTAGGAAGGTTACCTATTTAGGGGATTTCTGCTTTATTGCCTCCAAGCTGAATCCAAGCTGCAGTTATATGAAATTTACACAAGGGCCTTTATTTCTGAAGAGGCAGTTTGGGAGCAGGAGGAAAAAACATCCGGCTGTTGACTCTATTATAGAGAAAACAAAGCAAAGAGATAATATGTGTGCATCCCCTTACCCAGCGTGTTATGGACTCCATCCGCCTCTTCTTTCACAGATTCATCTAGTCGCTCTAAATTCTGAACAAGCAAAGCTGCCACCTGACCATCCACCTGCAAGATCCAGAAAGAAAGCAAAACAGACAAGATGGAAAAGACTCTGGAAAGACCCCCAAATGGACTACTATCTCTCCTTTGCCATTCCCCATCTAACCTAAATGAATCCCTTCCCCATTCCCACACTCCTGTACTTTTCCCCAAGGAGAAACCTCAGGAAACAGAAAAAACAAAGATGACAGAATTAGAGCTGGAAGGGACTTCAGAGATTCCCAAACAGATTCACAGCAGGGCGAAGAAGCAGCCTTGAGGCTACGTAGCCAAACCCTCTCATGTTGCAGATGAGAAAACTAAGACCCAGTTAAGGTTAAGTGGCATGCCCAGGAGGGGAATGTGAACCCAGATTCTCTCTAATTCCTTCTAACATACCAGGCTGCCTCCTCAACAGAAAGAGAATGTCTTGGAAAGGGTACAGAACCGAGAGCCCAGCAACCTGGGTGTGACTCATCATCCTGTCGCTAACTAGAAGACGAAATCCTGAACAAGTTATTTCTCTTTTCTGGATCTGTTTACCTATCTGTAAAATGAGGGTACTGGACAAGATGATATTCAAGATCCGTTCCTGCTCTGACATTCCACAAATTATTATATTTTACTACTTGGTATCATAAATTATTATGGTACTTAAGAAGATAAGAAATCTTACATAGGGTCACCTCAACCATCCAATTGGTCCATCGTTCTCTCTCTGGTAGTAACGCCAAAAGTGGGTCTTCTCTAAACACTGACCTCAAAAGCCAAGGTTCATAGCAGGAAACATTCCTAACTTCTATAACTTAATCAGAATCTAATATGTAAATCCTTCTTGAGCTTAATTGTATTTTAAGAGTCCCTTTCATTTGTCTGTTGAACATGGAGCATATGAGTTAGTGAATTGAACTTATTGTATTTGGCAAACTACTTTCACATCTGTTGTCACACTTCACTCTCAAAATGACCCATCCACTTGGGTAGGAGAGAAGGTATGGTATTATCCTCACTTTACAGAAAAGGAAACTGTGGCTCAGACAGGTAAAGTCACAGATCATTAAGTCATACAGTTAATTAATTTAGAGTTGAGACTAGAATGAAGTTTTAATTTCTAGTGCAATGTTTTCCCCCTATACCAGGATGCCTGCCTTCCCTATTCAAATTCTCCCCTGACTCAGCAAAACTGCCATTTACCACACTTGATGGAGAAACAAATGGATAGCTATTTAACCAGCCAATTTTCCAGTCTATCAATTTCCAGGGGCTGTAGTGCTTAGACTGTAAGCTCCTTGTGAGCGGGGTCCTTGTATTTTATGTTCCCAAAGATACAAACAGCTTATAGTACTTTGCACCTTATATGATGGGGTGCTTATTGATATTTGACTCATATTTGTTGATGACTTCCATGTTCCAGAATTTGCTGGGGGGACGGGGGGGGGGGGGTTAATTATGTAATTTTGCTATTTCTTAGAGGTTAAGGAAGAATACATATAAAAGAAGTTGAAACTATTGATAAATATTACTAGTAAATGAGTGAATTTTATCTTTAGTTTCACTTTTTCCTATGTGGCAGATAACACTGAAACAAGTGTTTAATGAATGTTCAAACACAAAAAGAAAGATTATGGGATCATATAGATTTAGAGCTGCAAGGGACACCTCATAGGTCATCTAATCCAAACCCTTCATTTTAGAGATAAGCAAATAGGATCAGAAATGTTAAGTGACTTGCCAAAGATCACCAAGGTAACAAGGAGAATAATGGAGATTCAAACCCAGGTTCCTTTTGACCCTACCTCCAGTGCTCATTTCATTACTTACCTGGGTGGTTTCCACCTCTGAATGAGGATATTAACAGGCCTGCTCTCAAATCTCTTCTCTAACAACAGCTTTACTAAGCAAACCCAACATAATGTTTTTCTTAATTAATTGGACAGTTTTGGTATATGAGATGAGACAAAACAGAAAAACTTTGGGAGGAGGAAGAAAAGGAGGAGAATGAACCATATCAGTCGTTTTACCCCAAAAATCACCTTGACTGACTTATAATCTCCCTGAATTCTGAGGTAGCAAACACTGGAGCTCCACCAGGTATCACTCACTTGTCAGTTCTATTAGTCGCCTCACTAGTTTCAATTGCTCATTGCTGTTTTATCTACATTTTTTCTCCCTCTTGATTCTTAGTTATGTCTTCCATCTCCACTGTCTAAAAAGTGGCAGTGACAGTGACTGTGAAGGATATGTGAAAATCTAAGAGCTGCACTGTTATATGTATGATGGGAGTCACACAGGAGAAAAATCTTATTTCTTGTTATAAAAATAGAACTTTTAACGTATGCTTTTCTGCACTTGCATTATGTAAAGCTTTATGTTCCATTGGGTTAAATTCAATTTTACCTGATTGCACTGGGAGGAAAGGAAAGTCAAAATGCATTTAGCTCAAAAGAACCCTTGGAAAAATAATTATTCTAGGTACAGCCCTATAAATCTGCTGGTAAGCAGCACAAATTGGCATTCTATCCTACTCCTTTAATCCCTCCTGTCTACCTTCACCCCTATTTTCAGGGACTGTGGCTAAGTCTGATACTAAAAAACAAATCAGGCCTGGGAATCACATCACAAAGAAGGGAGTAATTCTGGTTTGCAAAATCAGGTTGAATTCAGTCAGAGGTGTTCTGGTAAGTTTAGTGGTCATCTCCACTTGTTAACAGGTCTTCCAAATGACACTCCAGCAGCCTCCAATGAGACAACAACACAGACAGATGACCTTTTCTATTTGTCCGAAAAGGGTGAGGAAATAAGAAGAAGAAAAAGAACGTGGAAGGGCTTTCTATGAAGCATGGATGACTTACCAATGAGCTTTCTCACCTTCTCTTTCCTGTCTAGACCAAGGAATAGCAAATTCTGGAGTCATGAAAGCTAGAATCATACAACAAAAGAGCTAGAAAGGGTCCTTCAAAGAACATGTAGGCCAATGCTCAGATTTTTGAAAATAAAGAAACTAAGCCCAAAAAGGGAAATCTCTTGCCCAAGGTTACAAAGCAATCTATGAAGTTTTTTTTTTTTTTGGCTAGGAAATGGGGTTAAATGACTTGCCCAGAGTCATACAGCTAGTAAGTGTTTTGTGTCTAATAACGGATTTGACCTCAGATCCTCCTGAATCCAGGACTGGTGCTCTATCCACTGCACCACCTAGCTGCCCTTATGAAGTTTTTAAAAATTAGAATCTTGAGCAACAGTATAATTTTTAAATATACCTATGTTTATACTAATTTGTAGCCTGTCAGAAATGTTAGGAGAAAGAAGCTGTCTGAAATAATAAACAAACAAATAAACAAATAGATAAATCACTCACTCGCAGCATCAGAGACGAAGGTAGTAGAGGTTCTAAGAAAATCTATCTTTTATTTTTACATTGTTCCTTATTCTTTTCCAGGAAAACAAATGTAATATACATCTTCTGGCTATGAGAAGAAACATTTGTACCTCTTTGCTTTCAGAAATGGTTTTAGACTTCATCTGGAATCAATGCAAGGCCATGGAGGAAAGCTGATCAAGTCACTTTACCTCTCTTCACCTCAGTTTCCCATAAGGTTATTGGTACAGGCAACCTCTAAGTTTCCTTTGGGCTCTAAGTATATGATCCCATGGACTTTTAAATACTAAAGGAATTGGATTCAGAATAATGTCCTCAATATGTGGAAAATATGTGGAAAAATTCAATAATGTCACGAAAATACCTAACGCTCCTAACATGGGGCAGCTAGGTGGCACATGGATAGAGCACTAATCCTGTAGTCAGGAGGACCTGAGTTCAAATTCGACCTCAGACACATGATCTTCACTAGCTGTGTGACCCTGGGCAAGTCACTTAACCCCAACTGCCTCGAAAAAAAATAAAACCTAAATCCTAACATGAGAGGTAGTGAGGTATAATAAATAAAGCACTGCACACATAATCAAGAAAACTTGTGTTCAATGAGCACCTAAGACTCGGATTTGTCTGTGTGACTACAAGCAAGTCATTTTAGCTCCCTTTCCTCATCTGTAAATTGAGGCTAATAATCACCTTCCTTCACAGGCTGTGAAGGAAGCATTTTACATTTCTTAAAGCAAAATAATAACAACAGCAATAGCAGTATAGGTTGATTAAAAAATGCAGGGGTTAGACTGAATGATCCTTTTCAGCTATAACAATTCATAGGTTTATAAATATTTTTTGACTGACTGAATGAATGAACAAATGAAAGACTAACAACTTGTAAAATGTCTCTATAAAGTACTGGTAAGTTTCCAAAACACTAGGTTTCCTCAGAACAGTCTGAAAAAAAATCATGGATATGGATAGGAATTTCTCATATTTTTTTTTCTTATTTAGGAACTTATGGGTACATTACATTGTTGCCAGTGTTGGAGAAGTCTTCACAGAATTCGAATGTTGAAAGAAACCTCCAAGACCATCTATTCCAACCTGTACCTGAGTTAAGAACTACCTCTACACAAGCACTCATCCAGCATTCCCCTGAAAGACTTCCAATATTGGGGAACCCACCATCTCCCACAGAAGCAAATTTCACTTCTGGATAACTAATTTTTTTTGCAAGTTTCTCCTTACAGTCAAACTCTGCCTCTTTACAGCTTCCATCCATTAGCCATCTTCACGCACAAAGCAGACCAAGTCTAATCTCTTTTAACCATGGTGGCCCCGCAAACAGGGCCATTTAATTTTGCTTTCGTGTAACCAAGATAAAAAAACTAAAGGAACCCCGAGAATGCCAATACTGCACTCCCCCAACAGGGTTTTTCTATAGTTTATAATTTCCAACTAGGGAAAAGATAGAGGCAATAACTACAAACGGCATCTCACAATAAATTCTACCAGATGCCCTCTAGCTGCTGTTCATGCCGTTTCATGACTTTGATATTGGCCCCAAATTAAAACTACAAAGAAATCGATGTCTTTTCAATATTGAGAATTCTTATAAAAGTTTCCTAATAAAGAATAAAAATGGGGATACAAAAATATATTTAAGCCTACCTTTTCCTAACTCCCTAGCATTTACCAAGTGTTTTCCACTGGTACAGGTAAGCAAATAATCTATCCTAATCCTGAAATTTTCAATTGCTTATGATACATATAAATCCCACTGGAATAAAAAGATTAGTGCCAAAATCTTAAAAATAATAATAATAAAAATTAAAAATTAAAAGCTCTTAAGCAGGAGCTACCTAATGACTCCCCAGGCTGTAGATGAACTGTTTCTTTCCAAGTGAACAATAAAATCTGCAAAATCCAGCTTTTGTTAGTGGTTTTGGCAACACAGAAAACAGAAAAGGGACTTTTGTTCAAATGGCTGTTTCCAGGTCCATTTTTACAAGCAGCAGGCGGGCTACCTGCTCCTTTCTCCTCAATCCTTTTCATGCAACAACCTTCTAGGCAAAGGATGGTAATTAAAAACAGCATAGCGACTACGCAGGAGGATGCATTCAGGGCCACCGCAATTAACCTTTGGAAGGTAAGCCTGTGTGGATGACACCACAGGGACTTGATGGAAAAGCAAGTGCAGTTGCCTTCCCCCAACACCCCTCCAAACAAAAGCCCATCTGATTTCTTTTCTCTCAACACAATTATTCCAAAGCCCAATAAAAAAAAACCCTGTGTTCTACAAACGTGGCCGGTCACTCCAGGGCGCAGCTAGAAAGAAAAATGGCCACAAGAATTTTCATCATACTCAATTGTTATTGCCTCTGCTGGACACCTCTTTCTATGTAAGACACAGTTCTTCATATCGACTCAGTTCATGACCCTTCCACTCATTCCAAATACCGGGAACCAGAGTGCATGGGAAAAGTCTAGTATAAAGAGCAAAAGAGAAAAGGATTAAGTCAGTGAAGCTGACACTGTATCTGCTCACTGAGATAAGGACCTCAACCAAATCACTATTAATTGGAAGTTTCTAGAAAAAGACTAACTAGGAAAACCTACAGAAGAGAAAAAAACATCATGACAGCAGTCAAGGGACCTGGATCCTGATACTTTTACCACTAACCAGCTGTGCGACCCTACTCAAATTACTTAACCTCTGAGTCTCAGCTTCTTCATCTGCAAAACAATCATATATTAAGAGCCAAAAGGAACCTTAGAGTTCAGCAGGTCCAATTCCCTCATTTTTCAGATAAGGCTTAGGGAGGCTGAGGGCCTTACCCCAGGTCATCCAATGGAATCATCAGAATGGGAACCGAAGTCCTCTGACTTTAATTCCCTTACCTCACACAGTGTCATGAGAATAATGATGTTAGAATTACAAGGGAATTTAGTGATAATGTAGTCCAATATCCTCCTTTTACAATGAGGGAAAGTAAATTCTAGAGGCCTTGACTTATCTAAGACCAAATGAGAAAACACATAAGTCCCTGCATGGCAAAGTGCTAGCAATCTCAATAATGTGTACTTCCATTCTCTTGATATTTAGTAAAGCAGAGGTGTCAAACATATAACCTACATCCCAGTAACACCCAAACCAAATTAAAATGTAACTGGGAAATTTTTAACAAAATAAATAAAAATACAATAAAACACAGATAATGGTAATATGTGGTTGTCTAAGTCAATATGCACCTTCAGGATCCTTATGGATGGGTTTAGTGGCCCCTGTCTCCATTTAGGTTTGACACCATTGTAGCAGAGGATACTCTCAAGTTCAGTTTTGATAACCAGCTTAATTCCAAAAGATAGCACCCCCATATGATGACACAATGGACTCAATGCACATAGTCTAGTGTCCCATAATTTGAGAATTGATCCACTCTAAAACCCCTTTGTTCTGGAAACAAATTTTCTATTAAAATAGCACTAGATTTCTGCATTAACCCAATGTTGAGTCACCTTGAGCTTGAACTCAGTTTAAACCCCCAATTTAAACCCTCATCACTAACTGATTAAGATGGCAGTAATAGTTACCAACTCATAAAGAATGAAAAGAATTAAAAGGCAGTGAATCTGCAACTTACCAGAGCATCAATGAGCACCTCAGCTCCCTCTTCACTCTCATGGAGTGTATCAATATCTGTTAATTCCTGCAGCAAATCAACCACAGCTATAGACACATGTGAAAAATGTTAAGGGCATTAACTACATATGGAAATCCTACAGACATTTTATTTTCAAAAATTTGGTTCCCTCCTGTATCCTAGCTAATCACTTCATCACCATCTTTAACGGTGCTCTGCCCACAGTGGGTGTTCAACAAATGTTAAATGACAGACTCATTTTCTTTCTTTACACCACCTTCCTATGTAACTTATTCCATATGTTCACTGCACCTTCATAAATTTCATAACTTCAAATAAATCAGTCAGAAGTCTCTTTTCAGAGTGATCTGAGAAATAGGCCAACACCCTTAACCTTAGCCCATAATTTAAATTCTTGAAATTCAGTATAATCTTAACTACTCTGTACAGTTCGCCTTCAAAGGCAGTAATGATTTCTGTGATGTGACGCCTGGTGCTTCACAAAGCATTTCACTGAAGTCAGCATAAGATAGAATGGATTTAAGTTAGGCTAGGATAGGGAAAAAATCATTGGAACCCTCCTCTCCACCCTACCAGAACTGACCATACCAACCTTCGCTCCTTACCCATCCCCCTCCAACATACCACTTTGAATTAAAGAGAACTGGACTAATAGGGAGGAGTGGGGAAAAGTAGGGAAGAAAGAGGAAGAAAGAAAAAATACCAATCTAAACTTTCTCACAAACTGAGATATACAGCTAAAGCCATCAAAGTAGAAAAAGCACTACTCCCCTCTTGTCCAAACTCAAATCAACAAATTTTTACTGAACACATATCATATGCAAGGAATTATAGTACTATGTGTAGAAAAAAAAAAGGAGAGGGAGCCTCAAGAAGTTTATAATTTAGATGGGGACATGACAACTAATCAAACAAGCAAGCATGTATTTATAGGTAGCATGGCAGGTAGAATGTTGGATTCAGAGTCAGGAAGATTTGAGTTCAAATTTGACTCTGACAATTCCTGGTTATGTGACCCCTAGACAAGCCTCTTGACCTTTCTCAGCCTCAGTTTTTTTGACTGTAAAATAGGGATAATAGCATCTTCCTCCCAGGGTTGTTGTTAGGATTAAATGAGATAACATGTAAAGTTCATTGCAAACCTTAAAAAAGTACTATATAAATGCTAGTTGTAAGTATCTACTCTCTGTGCCAGGCACTGGGACCAGGAATACAAAGGAAAAAGCAACAATGTCATTGACCTCAAAGAGCTAATTTTCAAAATGGAGAAACAACATGTACATAAATAGGTAAATACAAGGTAACATGAGAGAGGAAGACACTAGTAGCCAAGGGACTAGGTAAGGCCACTTGTACAGGGTAACATTTGAGCTGAGTCTTAATGAAACCCAGGGATTCTAAGAGGGAGAGATGAGGAGAGAGAGCCCTCAGAGTATGGAGTACAGTCAGGAAGTTTGGAAGAGGGGTAGATTTGGGGAAAGGTAATAAGTTATTTTTTTAGGCATGCTGAGTTTAAGATGCCTATGGGACCATCTAATTCGAAATGTCGAAAAGACAACTGGTAACATGGAACTGAAATTCAGCCAAGATACTAGGGATAAATATACAGATCTGGGGGTCATTTGCACAGAGATGATAACTGAATCCTGGGTAGCAGATGAGATCAACAAGAGATAATGGAGAGGAAGGAAGAGGGTGCAGGATAATGAGAAACAACCACAGTTAGGAGGTATGACATGGATGAAGATGCAGCAAAAGAGTCTGAGAGAGAAAACCCTAATAATTAACAGAATTAAGGGAAAGCAGTGTCATGAAAACCCAGAGAAGAAAGTATCCCAAAACTGATCAAGAGTATCCAATGAAGCAGAGGACAAAAAGGATGAGGATCAAGAAAAGATCAACAATTTTGCAATTAGGAGATCATGAGATCATACATCTTTTGAGCCAGAAAGGACCACTGAGTCCAACCCCTTCATTTTACAGATGGAGAAACTCAAGGATGTTAAGTGACTTGTCCTGGGTCACATAGCTAATGTCTAAGGAAGGATCTGAACCCAGGTCTTCCTAATTCCAAGTCCAGTTCCCTAAGCTGAAGCACATTCAAAGGAGGACATCCAGCATAGTGAGTGGTTCTGGAACTACCCCATTACAAGGAACAGCTGAAGGAAAGTAGGTGTATAGAGCCTGGGGAAGTTTTTCTTTCTTTCCAGTTTGTGACTGGACCTGTAATTTCATCAGTATAGGGAGCTCCCAGTGAGAAACATCCTTTAATACACACAAATCAGCACTACTCTGAAACTTAATAGTCTGAGAGAGTTACCTGATGCACTGAAAGGTTGACCAACTCACTCAGCATCACACAGTTGTTTAGTCAGAGATAAAACCCAAATCCAAGTCTTTCTGATTCTTAATTCATTATGCTTCTACCCCTTGTAGAAGACTTAAAGGGGAGATTCAAGTAATAACAGGGCTCTTTTGTGAAGGAGATATTAAACTTATTCTGCCTGGCCCAAAAGGATCGAATTAGGAACAGCAGGTAGAAGTCACAAAGAGGCAAATTTAGGTTTTAAATAAAGTAAAATTTGCTAACAAGCTGGAAAGCTAAATTTGGATCAAGTCATAGAGGACCATGAATGAAAGGCTAAAGAGACTTACCTTTATGTTGTAAGTAATGGGGAGTTACTGAATGTTTCTGACTAAGAAGAAACAAAATGAAATTACAATTTTATAAAGATTAATCTAAGAGTGGCATAGGTGATGAAATGAATGGAAAAGAGAACAAAGGCAGAAAGGCTAATTAAAAGACTAACATCTCTGGGCATGAAGTGAACTAAGGTCAAAATAGAAAAGAAAATAGAAGAGAGAGAAGTCACAGATAATATGAAGGTAAAATCAAGAGGTGACTAATGAAGTTCCAGGTGTTCACAAATGACTTACACTAAAATACACACATAAATATATTTCAATACGGTTTTCTTTCTGGATCTACGAATGACCAGCTGTCCAAAGTGGGTAAGTTCTTAGATTGTGTTCCTTTGTTTCTGTTTCTCAGGAAAAGATGGGTCAATGATATTTCCCTAAAACACAGGGAAATTCAGACTACTTAATGAATGCAAAGAGCTTGAAGCTCTTAGTATAAAATCTCTTTCAAGTTTGTGGTACTTATCAGAAAAGTAATCAAAAGGCTGCTAACACAGAGGATAATCAGTCATACCTGACATGTTGTAAACCACAATACATAAGTTACTTGAGTCACTTACAAATGGGTCACATAACCCTGAAAGTAAGGGCAACTCCTGAATAAAAAGTGAGTATGTGTACTTCTTCCTCTCTAAGATTCAAATTATTGATAGAAAGGGGGAGTATTGGGAAGGCTTAAATTAGACCAGATCCAGACAAATAGTAGCTATATACCCTACTATGACTGTGAACTGACACTTATTTCCAATATAAATTATCAGACTTCCAAGGGGAAAACTGAGAATTATTGTTTCCCTTCACCCCACCTAAGTCTGTGGCACTCCCACAAACTACTGTCTCATACACACACACACAAACACACACACACACACACACACGGATGGATGGATGTACACACACATATCTGTATGTGTGTGCATATGCTTTACTATACATAAATGTACTGGTTTAATTTTTCCATGTCTATTATATTTTTTTTTTTGCTTGTCCATATTTGACTGTCAGCCATGGAGCTTCACTACTGCTAAAAAAGATGGATTTTGGCATCTAAGAACATCCTAAGATGATGACAAGTACTGCAAAATTTAATAAATGCAATCTAGCCCACTGTCCTCTTATTTATTTGGGGGTCTAGATCACTGTTCATCTGCTGTGTGTGTTCAAGATACATGTACTCAAAAGACCAGCATTCAAATGTATAACAGAGCTGGTACCCCAAGTGTTCTGCAACCACCAAACTTCTCCTGTGTCAGTCGTTACACTAAACTCTTTACACAGATTACAGAGAGCGTTTAGAAGGTTCTGCAATACTTCAGGCCTTGACGAAATTGAGCAAAATATCATCTATACACAGTTACCCAGAATGAAGGAAGAAAGCAGGCAGGATTGCATTTGAGACACAATGCAGCTTTTAACTACCCAAGCTTCTCAATGAAACAAAGATCCATATACTGAACAATAACATTTTTTTTGTTTTTGTTTTTGTTTTTTTGCTTAGGTAATCAAGGTTAAGTGACTTGCCCTGGGTCACACAGCTATTAAGTGTCAAGTGTCTCAGGATGGATTTGAACCCAGGTCCTCCTGACTCCAAGGCCAGAGCTCTATCCACTGCACCACTTAGCTGCCCCTAACAACATTCTTCTAATGATGCTATCATCATACATCATAGTTGATGTATCAATCAACAAGTATTTATTCAGTGCTAGGCACTAGTTGTTGAGGATAGAATACAAAGAAAGAACAATCCCTAACTCTCAAAAAACTTATATTCAAACAAGGGAGATACCTGTGTGTATACTGATATAGATATAGATCTATGTACTTACATATACACACAAACTAAATATAGTGAGAATAAAGACAACTAAATACTAGGTAGTTAAATATAATAGATTGGGAGAAAGGGCACTAGCAGTTTGCAGGATGTGGAGGGTTATCAGGAAAAGCATTGGTTAGAAGCAGCCCTTGAGCTACGTAAGAAGGAAAAGATGCATTCCTTTTATGAGATGGAGGTAAGGAGTGAGTGTATTCAAGGTATAGGAGATAGCCAGAGAAAAGGCAATGAGATGAGAGGTGGTGAGTCATATTTTAGAAGGGGAAAGTGGGAATAATGTAAAATAAGGCAGAAGAAGGGAATAATGAACTCTGTGTCGGGCATATTAAGTTTAAGAAATTTCCAGGATATCCAGTCTGAAATGTCCACTAGGTAACTAGTAATATGAGACTAAAACTAAGGGGAGAGTGGGGTTAGTTCTATAGACCTGGAAGTCTATTCATGAAGGTGATAATTAAAACCAAGGAAGGTTATACAGTCACTGACAGTGTAGAGAGAGAAGAGTGCTCAGGCCAGAGCCTTGAGTGACACCTATAATTAATG